ATTCGCTTTCTCAGGGGAGTCAACAAGAGTTTTGAGGTTGTCAAAGCTCAGTTGCTCATGATGAAGCCTTTACCCCTTGTGTCTGATGCTCTGGATGATCTACTCCAACACGAACAGAAACTTAAAGGAGATTCTTCTGGCCAACAAGGTGGCCAGTATGTTGCTCTAGCTGCTGGTCGTGATCGCCCTCGTTGGAAATCTGATTCTGAGCAGGATAATCGCCCTAGGGACAAGTCTGATAATGATGGTGAACGAGTTATTTGCAACTATTGCAAACGTCCTGGCCATTTGATCAAAGATTGCTAGAAGTTACAACGAAAAGAGAAAGGGAAGGAACATGGTATGATTGCAGCTGTTACACAGGATGGTCACTCCTCTGAGGGCAGTGTTGTTTCTGACAGTACTTCTAATTCTGCCTCTTCTCCATCAAGTCTGGGTCTCTCTGTTGAAGACATCAACAAGTTGAAGAACTTTCTCCAATTTGGTTTGGATTCTGCTCCACCATCTCCTGGTTCTCCACACATGAACCACAAGGCATTTTCTGTTTCCCAGTACTTACCATCATTCCCAAATCATGCTGGTAAGTACATTCTTTCTTCACACCATGAGATGGGCAAATTTGCATTAACCAACATTTGGATTTTGGATACTGGGGCCTCGGATCATATCACTTGTTCCTTGTCTAATTTTCTTGACTATACTGATGTCCATGATGTCTTTGTTTACTTACCAAACAGCACCAAGGTGTCAGTTAGTCATATAGGCAGTGTCAAACTTCCTTCTGGCCTTCTTTTGCACAATGTGCTGCTTGTCCCCAATTTCACCTTTAACCTCATTTCTGTAAGCAAACTTACCAGTGACTTACCTATCTCCTTGCACTTTCATTCTGATGTTTGTGACCTTCAGGACCTTCTGACCCAGAAGCAGATTGGTTTGGCAAAACAACATAATGGCATTTATCACCTCACTTCATCTCTTCCCATTCCAGCTAGTTCTTCCTCTTCCCACAATGTTGCTGCCACTTACAATTTCAACCCTCAAGATGTTCATCTATGGCATTGACGTCTAGGACACCCTAATAGGGATCGTTTGCATTTACTTCAGAATCAAAACTCTCATGTAACCAGTGAACTTGTCTCTCACTGTGATATCTGTCATTTATCTAAACAGAAACGATTGCCATTTCCTGTAACAACTCATTCTGCCAATATGGCTTTTGCCTTAATTCATGTTGACATTTGGGGCCCCTTATCCACTAAATCATATGATGGTTATGCTTATTTTCTCACAATTGTCGATGATTATACTCGTTGTGTGTGGATTTACTTAATGCAACATAAGTCTGAGGCTCGTGGATTGTTACAAGGCTTCTGCAATCTGGTTGTTAAGCAGTTTGATAAGTCTGTCAAAATGATTCGTAGTGACCAGGGGGCAGAATTTCATATGACAGATTACTACAGGTTACATGGGATTGAACACCAAACTTCTTGTGTTGAAACCCCTGAACAAAATGGACGTATTGAAAGGAAACACCAACATATCCTAAATGTTGCAAGGGCTCTTAGGTTTCAGTCTGGTGTTCCTTTGAAATTCTGGAGTGATTGTGTTTTATATGTTGTATACATTATCAATCGTTTGCCTACACCTTTGCTTAACAACAAATCTCCCTATGAAATGCTTTTTGACAAGCCTCCTTCTTTGCATACCTTAAGGGTATTTGGCTGCCTCTGCTACTCCACTACTTTGCAGCATGGCAGAACTAAATTCCAACCTCGAGCCAGACAGGCTATCTTTCTTGGCTTTCCTTCTGGCATTAAGGGCCATAAGCTCTTTGATCTTAATGATCATCATGTTTTTGTCTCCAGAAATGTCTCTTTTCATGAGACAATCCTTCCTTTTAGATCTGCCTCTGATCCTTCTCCTTCTCCTTCCACTCCTCTTTCTCCTTCTATTCCACCTTTGGCTCCATCCTCAATTCCCTTTCAACCACCTTCTACTTCAGCACCCCAAACGTCAGGGGGGCCATCAGTATCTTCTCATGAGACTGCTGATGTTCAGGTTGCTGATGGTAATGATGCTGATGAATTTGCTGATACTGATTCTGACTCTGTACTAGACATCAGTCCAAGAAATGAACTTGAAGAAGAACCACCAGAGTTAAAAGTACAAGCAGAATTTGAAGGGAGACCAGTTAGAGCAAATAGAGGCAAACTACCTGCAAAACTAAGTGATTACTATGTGGGAGCAGTTAGTAAATATCCTATGTCTGACTATTTAGGATATGAGCAGCTTTCAGTAGTTGATAAGCATTATGCACTGAGTCTCATTGCTGAAGTGGAACCAGTGAGTTATGAGGAGGCAGCCAAGTCAGAAAAGTGGAATAGAGCTATGGAAGAAGAGAGACAGGCCTTGGAGGCAAATCAAACTTGGGAAGTTGTGGTACTTCCTGCAGGGAAGAAAGCCATAGGTTGTAAGTGGGTTTATAAAATCAAACTCAGACCTAATGGTGATATTGAAAGATTTAAAGCAAGGCTAGTAGCTAAAGGTTTTACACAGGTTTATGGAATTGATTTCCTAGACACCTACTCACCTGTTGCCAAGATAAACACAGTTAAAGCACTATTGGCAGTAGCTGCTAGCAAGAACTGGATTTTAGATCAGATGGATGTCTCCAATGCATTTCTGCATGGAGACTTAGATGAGGAGGTGTATATGCAATTACCTCCTGGAGATGCAAGAGCAGGTGGAAAGGAGAAGCTGGTTTGCAAGCTGAAGAAGTCAATTTATGGCCTGAAACAGGCAAGCAGACAATGGTTTGCCAAACTCACCAATTCATTGCTGAAGCATGGTTTTGCTCAATCACCTTCAGATCATTCTCTATTTACAAAGTGGATTCATGGCAGGATTGTGATCTTGTTGGTTTATGTAGATGATATTATACTGGGAGGCAGTGAGAGGGAAGACATTGAAGAGCTGAAGATGTACCTGAAGAGGAACTTCAAAATTAAGGATTTGGGAAGTTTGAAATACTTCTTAGGTCTTGAAATCAACAGAGACAGCAGTGGGATTGCAGTTTGTCAGAGGTAGTACTGCCTTGAACTGCTAAAAGACACAGGCTACTCTATTGCCAAGAGCTGCAAGTCACCACTGGATCCAAAAGTGAAGCTGAGAGCCAAGCAAGGTAAACCTCTTGCTGATCCTGAAGTATATAGAAGACTGATTGGTCGTTTACATTATTTGACCACCACCAGACCAGACCTGACCTTTCCAATGCAGCAGCTAAGCCAATTTCAGAAGGAACCATACTCAGAACATATGCAAGCAGCATATAGAATACTGAGATATATAAAAGGATCACCTGGACAAGGTATATTTTTCAAAAGTGACTCAACATTCAAGCTATCTGGTTATAGTGACTCTGATTGGGCCAGCTGCCCTGATTCTAGGAGGTCTGTGAGTGGTTATTGTACCTTCTTGGGAAGCTCTATGATAACCTGGAAAGCAAAGAAACAAACCACTGTTTCAAGATCATCTTCTGAGGCTGAATATAGGGCTTTAGCACATCTTGGATGTGAAGTTCAATGGTTGAGGAATCTGTTGGAAGAACTCAGTGTTGAAGTGTCTCTACCTATCTCTATATTTTGTGACAACAAATCTGCAATACATATTGCAGAGAATCCGGTTTTCCATGAGAGAACCAAGCACATTGAGATAGATGTGCATGTGATCAGAGAAAGGGTGAAGACAGGTTTGATCAAGTTGTTTTATGTCAATTATGTGGATCAATTGGCAGACTTGTTCACGAAGCCTTTGAGCAGGTTCAGGATTAAAGAGTTGCTTGAGAAGATGGGAATCGAAAACAGGTATGCTCCAGCTTGTGGGAGGCTGACAGAGACCTTGGATCAAGCTGCAGCAACCTCGTCCAATGGAACAGTAGCCAACGGCTAACTTGCAGAGAAGAAACGTGGAGGAAGAATGAAGATGAAGAAGAAACGTTTCTACTATGCTGTGTCGTTTTACTTATCAGTTGTTTACCGCTTTATTTAAATTAAAGTACTGAACAAACCAATGAGGCTAAGCCATGTGGCACGCTTAGTTTAAACCTCTGTTTACACTGTATAACGACTATAAATAGGAACAAGCTGGAACCTCACTCTTTGAGGGTTTCCGATCCATTTTCTGCTCGCTTTATACCAAATTCTACACATGTCTGCCCATGCTATTACAAGTTAGGTAATCTCCGTCTCTGCCCAAATAGATGGAAGCAAGTTAGGTAGTATGATAAGGTCAGAACTTTATACACTATATGATATAACACTTTCTGTTTCTTTCTTCTCATTAGAGTTGTTCATCCAACAATGATGAATAAATGGGTAATTAGTACGAACCAATCACTGATATCTTCACTATAACGTCAAAAGGGACTCTACCTCATAACATTAATACGGTGAGAAGTTGCTTATTCCTGCAATGTCATCTAGGATCCAATATCGAACATCAGGATCGACTAAGGGAAATGAATCTACTGGTAATGGAATAAGAAAATCTCCTATGAGCCAAACAGTCGGTCAAGAAATTCCCCTCCATGTAGAAGGTTTCGGAACTGAAACAAAAGGTTCGCGTGATGATGTGACGACTCCTCCGTCGCCTATAATATCGACAATGTTGTTGTCGAATCCATCTACAAGGCCACCCTCCGATGTCCAAATTGCTAGGCCTCTGAGTTCCGCACGAGTGATGAAGCAGCTTCCCAGATTGATAATGAATGCCCTGGTAAGAGTAATATCGAAGTTAATATCAGAATGAAGTTTATACGAACATTTTGGATGAAGAGTTGAAGTTCTTAAGGAGTTATTAATCAGTCACAACTATGGCCCACAGTTTGAGATCATAAAAACCGCACAATATAAGTCCATAACGAGTTTGGCTCCAAAAAGTAAAGTTTGGGGCTATTTGTGTCTCCTCAACTGGACCGATAGTTAAGCCCATATAATGGATTAATCGGTTCTGCTTCCCGGCTCCTGCAATTTTTTTGGAAGAAAGGAGAGGAAAGGAAGGAAGGACAACCAGAGTCGAGACCCAGTCGACTAACCGCTGATTTGAATTGACAGACACTTCTGTTACGATTTATACTGCCTGAAAATCGCATTGCGGAATGGCTTCTCGCAACCATCTCGACGACGTGAGTCCCCTTTTCATTCTCCTCTTTTCTGGTCATTGGTGTCCGTCTTTAGGGCTTTTCTTCTCTCTGTTTTGGGTTGTCAGGCTTTGTGAAAATTGTGATTCGTGTAGGACGATGACTTCGGCGGTGATTTCAGTGGAACCCACAACGGCCGGCGCTCGGGTAATAAGAGAAGCTTTGGGGATCTTGAGGACGATGAAGATGATCTCTTTAGCTCCAAGAAGGTAAAGCTCTTGACTTGCACCTTGGGTGAACACGACTGAAGGGTATTCGATGGAGGGAGTTACTGTTCTTTGGATATAGAGGTGTCAAGCTTTTGCTGGATATAGAGGTGTCAAGCTTAAATGTTTAATGAACCTACTGTTCTTTCGAGTGAGTTACTGTGGGGAATTCTGAGAATTTGAACTGGGAACTATCGGCGGCGCTCTTACCAGAGCAGAGAAGAGAGGACAACTGCTAACTGCTTTCTCTCTTTCCTTGCTCACCGTGGATTAGTCGATCGATTGAGGATACCACGTAAAATCTTGTGTTCTGTGTTCGTTTCCTTCCGCATCATCAAATTCTACATGCTCAATTTAAGTTTGAGGGCATTGTCGTGAGGACGTCATTGGAGATGTTCTCATAATCTGAATGTGATTCATAGGGTTCCATAAATCTTCCGGTGGGATATAGGTCCTGTAGTACTTTCATTTAGGCATAGTTTGACTTTTCTTGAAAGTGGAAACTGTTTTGAGGGATAATGAAAAATCGCAATCTTGTTACTGCAGGGTAATTCAAAGGTAGAAGAAACCGCAATGATTCTGTCTCTTCGTGAGAGGTATTGTAAGCTTTTTAGTGGCTTAATTCACGAAGGAACTAGATTGACTATATATTTCTTTTACTACTAACCAATCAAGATCCTTACAACTTATTTCTCGGACTTTCCTTTTACAGCCTTGATACCTGCAGGAATGACCTTGCGACATGCCAAGTATGTTCCACTGCCTCCTTGCTTTGCAAATTCTTGGTTTCGCTAGAATTGGTTATTTCCAAAATGCCTATTGGGTTTTCTCTCCTGAGGCTTGTGCATTAGCATATGAAGTATGAGTTTCACTTTTGACCTCAGAATATCCATTTGTTTGAGATTTCAATTTACATAAGATTTGTGGCTCCCAACAGCCTGATTGCTCTGCACGAGCTATATTTTCCCTAGTTTGCTAGTTATCTACGAATTTGCATACACCACTATGTTTGGTATATTTGGCGTCACTGTTTTTGTTCTATGAATTACTTGTTGCAGATGAGAAGCAACTGAATTTTATTTTTTGTCATGTGATTGAAGAATGAAAAAAAGAGCTGCGAAGATTGAGTTTTGGGTTGTTATTTTAGAACAGTCTCTATAATGGTTGGCTATAATTCATTTGGATTATCATGATTACAGCTTGTTGCTACTCAATTATGCTTAAGTCATGACTTTGCTGTAGCTTTTGTTGAATTATACCATAATGGTAGACTGGTAGTTATATACTCTAAATGTGGTCTTGGGTACAGACGGAGCTTGAAACAGCAAAGTTGGATATTCGGAAGTGGCATTCTGCATTTGAGAATTCGTCTTTCATACCCTCAGGGGCATCTCCTGGTTGGTCTTTGTTAAGGTTTCTGTTACCTTAATTTTCTCATTCTACAAGTTCTCTTTCGTTCTGTTAAACCTTGGGTTCTTGTTACTTCTGTAGAACCTAAACTAGTCATCAATTATCTTCAGACTCTGAAATCATCAGAGGAGTCATTGGAGGAACAGGTATTATGCTTGATTTCTCTCTGCTCTGAGAGCGCATGAGTCTTGATCTTGATCTCATTGGTCTCTCATATGTTTTATCAGCTTGAGAAAGCAAAGAAAAAGGAAGCAGCCTTCATTGTTACATTTGCCAAGCGAGAGCAGGAGATAGCAGAATTGAAGGTTGTGTCTGCTTGCTTTTTTTTTTTTTTTGTATTTTCTTACTTTATCAATTTGATTCATCTGTTTTCCTGTCGTGCGTGCTGCTTGTATTGGTGTCGGGGAAATACTTTTGCATGTCTGGTGTTTGCAACCTATTATGTGTTTGATAAGTTGTGTTCCAAATGTTTCCAGTCTGCAGTTCGGGACTTGAGAGCACAACTGAAGCCACCATCAATGCAGGTACTTATTTGGGAAACTCTTCCCTTGAATAAAACGTGTTGGTTGGTGTCCTGATTAGATTTGCAGGTGTCTCGATTATTTCTTTTGATCCATGTGCTTTGTGGTCCTGTATCTTTGTAGCTAACTAGATATCTGAGATTAGTTTCCATCAGCTTTTACATCGTTTATTTTGGATGAACTATTAGTTAAAACATGCTAAAGACCCTATTCTGAGGTTTATATATATGATTTAGGAATTGTTTGCGGTGCTCTACTGTGGTATGGCTGCTGCTTCTGATTTACATTTTTTCTTCCAATCTGACAGGCAAGGAGATTGCTCCTTGATCCAGCAATTCACGTGGAATTTACTCGCTTGAAGGTATGTGCCCTGACATTGACATCTTTGGCTTTGATGTAGTTGTTATAGTTGCTACTTAATATAAATCAATGTTCCATGATCAGGTGAGATAATGTGCGTATGCTCTTTTTCTAATTTTGATGGTTAGGACGTAAATTACATTAGAGTCAGCTGGGGCTCTGCTTATCAGAGGCCATTATCCTATTTCATGGAACTGGCTTTTTCCGTGGAAATGGAAATGGAATGGTACATCGCCTTTTGCTGCATTACCTATTAATGGTTCAAAAATTCGTGCTGCTATAGAATTTGGTTGAAGGGAAGGACAAAAAGGTGAAGGAACTACAGGACAACATTGCTGCCATGAATTTTACAACACAAAGCAGGATGGGGAGGATGCTAATGGCAAAGTGCAAGACTCTCCAAGACGAAAATCTTGAGATTGGTGCTCAAGCAGCTGAAGGAAAGGTATAGCCTTGTGCCTGTAATACAAGCATCTATTTATTATGCATATTCTTGATTGGTAGTTCCTCAATCATCTATTATTATGTCCATTAGCTCAATGCTAATGCTATACGATATACAGATCCATGAGTTGGGAATGAAGCTCGCCTTGCAGAAATCTCATATTGTGGAGCTCCGAAATCAGTATGAAGGTTAGGCATACAACGGATCTTGTTATGTTTTCCACAGTTTAGATCCTTTGGAAGATTTTCATCTGTTTCTCCTGTTTTATACAGGCTTGTACAAACACATGGAGGGCCTAACAGATGATGTCGAGAAGGCAAATGAAATGGTTAGTTATCTGGCATCCTCAACTTTCTGTCCTTTTTATGGACATATATCTCGTTATTGCTAACAAAGGCGCTAATTTTGGTGCAGGTGCTCATCTTACAAGAGAAGCTTGTAGAGAAGGATAGTGAGATCAACCAGCTGAAGCAGAAGCTTGAGCTGCATCAGAAAACCTTGGTAGAAGAAGCAGAGCCACCCACTGACTTAGCTGCAGCTCCAGAAAACGCAGTTAGCAATGATGAACTAATGACTCCAAAACAAGAGATTGAGGCTGATTAAAATGTTTTGTAAGAAGATTTTGTAGTTTGCTGGCATTCGAATTTTGCTTTAGTTGTATGTGCAATGTGTACATTAAACATGGCTTCATTAGTCATTCTTTCCACACATTTTTGTTCTCTGGATGAATGCATCTAAAGTTAGCATAAAAGTCTGGTAGTGCAATAAGGGCTACATACAAGTACTCTCTATGAAGGGTATCTTGTATAATCGGATATGACGGTTAAGCTGAGAGTGTATAGAATTCCTATTTGCTCTGCAAAAAATCCTGGCATTTCATCGATGCTTCCTTTTGTTGCCTGTCGGCCAACCAAAAACAGCATTGCCAGGTTCCCAACTGCCTGTATTTGGTTCGGCCAATCCTTTCCTGCTGCTGCCAAGAGCTTCTCCCTGCACACGTTCCAACAGCATGGGGTCGTTTGGATTAGAGATTTTGATAATGAGGGATTTTAATTAAAATCTCTCGTTTAAAATACCTGGAAATTTGTATGTGGGATTTGATCAAAATAACTCGTTTGGATTGAAACGCAGAATTTTAACCTTAAAACTCAATTTACAATATTGTCCTTTGTCTTCTTCGTTCGTTTGTTGTTCATATTCTACCTCATTCACTCAATCAAACAAATTACAGAAAAGAGCAATGGTTCCTTCTTCTACACCTACTATTCGTAGCAATCATCTGTTCTTCCCCTGCTTCTACAACAACTAATCACAACAAAAGCTGCTTTTCTTTTATGCTTCCATCACAACCTCTTTTATGCTTCCATCACAACCCAAAATCTCACAACTGTGCAGACTAAAGAAAGAAGATAAAAACCCCAAAATCACAAACCCAAAATCTCACTCCCTTCAAATTCCAACCGATTGGGTTTGCACTTTGCATAACAAAGAAAGAATTGCTAATCAATTGAAACCCAAATTGGGTGATTCCCCCTTCTCTCTCCCATCTGACCCCCTTCCCTTCCCCAATAATCCATCTGAACCCGCCAATTTCCCAGCTTCTTCTCGATTCTTAACCATGCATATGCGAACAGCATATCGGAGTCGGCGTGGCGGGTGTCTCCGGCGCGACCAGTGAACCCTGAACCAAGGGAGAGCTTCTCCGCCATAGAGAAGTTGTCGATGGGTTGTTATTAGGGTTCATGTAGTGCGGTGAAGGCGACCGGGGAGGAAACGGTTAAGCGTAATAGATTGAATCCAGATTCCAGATCTGCCGCCAAGGAGGATGGCAGAGTCGACTGGGGAGTCAACGACAAAGGACGATGGGGGAAGGTTGACAACTGTGGCGATGGTTGGGGAAAGCTGGAAGCTGCTCCGGGATGCTCTGTGTCTGCGACAGTAGAGTGGTTTGAGGACGAAGGTTGGCGGAGAAGAAGGATCGGGAAGGGGAGAAGACGATGGAAAATTTCTTTCGGTGGAGAACAAGCTCAAAACGTCGGCTGGAAGGAGTGGATCTGTCCGGAGAAGCTATGCTGGCAATTGGGTGCAGGAGCTGGTGGCGAGTTCGGGGGAGGGTAAGTGTTGGAAAAAATAAAACAAGAATGAGGGATTTGAAAATAGCTGATCACCATCAGCTATTTCTAAAACCCACATTTGAGAGTTTTTAAAATTCCTAATTGCAAAAACTCTCATATTTCCCAAACGTAGGATTGTTTTAAAATCCTGCATAATGAGGGATTATTTTAAAATCTCTCACAAATCCCTCTATACATTCTCTTATCCAAACGACCCCATGTGTTATTGCAAGTTTGAGAATCCTCAGAAAATCGCTAGTGGTTCACATGTTTCTGGACATTGTATGCATCTTTCCAAAAAACATCAAGTAGGGTTCATGAAATGATATACCTCTATCCCACCAATGCCCTCATGAATCTTTCTTGCTTGACTGGCTCAACGATTTAAACCAGTTTGACAACTTTGGTTATAACCATTAAGATTACAATGTTCATCATTGATGAAAAATTATGAGAATTTCGAAAATGAAAAAATTATTTCAATATCACCTTAATGTCATACGAAATTTAGCATTTCAAATAATTTAAGAAAATAAAAACACATCATAAATACATTGTATTCAAATGACATTCCAACCAATGGATCGGACAACAAGCTAGTACTTTATGTAGATGGGATGAGATTGAATTGTGGGCTTCTAGGCAACCTGTTTTTCTAGTTTCATAGCTTTTGGTTTTTTCCTATACTATTTCTATCTCTTAATGAAATAATACATGCTATTTATGAATTAAAAGAATCCCTCATTTCCTTCCCACAAAAAGTTGAAAACACAAAAACGAATCCCCTTTATATCTCTTTTCATAAATAAAAATACAAAATTTCCCACTTCTTTCTATTCTCATTTATAAAAAACACAAAAATTCCCCTCCCCCCAATAATTAAAGTATGATTAACAAGAAAAATGGAAGCACCAAATTTCCCTTTTCTTCTCTTCCCAAAAAGTTGAAAACACAAAAAATTTCTCTATTTCTTTTAAAATAATCAAATTACCCAATAAAGTACTTTAACCATAAATTTAATTCTAATACTGTATTAATGTTATGCATTGTCCCAATTGTTAATTATTCATTATTAATATTGGCATTGTGTTGATTTCATATTTTGTATTTTTTTTAGTTTTGTTAAAGAACTTAAAAATAAATTATTTCAAGTGAATTTCATATTTTGAACTTTCCTTTACGAAATGTTAAATGACTTTACTTAGATTTAGGGAAAAGAAAACTTAATTTTAGAAGACTATATATTTTATTATATAGTAATTGTTTAAGTCAATTAGGTGCGTTCCCGGTCAATTAAGTTCGAATCAATCAAGTTACCTGTTGATCATGTTGTGGGTTATCAACTTTTAGTCAATTCAGGTTGCAATTTGTTGACTAGGTAGGTTACTCGAGTCATGTTCTGCCGGATTTTATTTTGAGACCTCTAGATACCAGGGCGTAATGGGAGCTTGTTAATGGTTAAAGTGGGTTTCCTCCAAGAGTTCACCACTTTCATTAAAACTAGGGGTGTAAGTTTGGCCCTAAAAACCCACTGACCAATCTCGTCCCGTCCTGTCTCTGAGGGTCGGGACGAATCAGTTTGTCTATAGGGTCAGTTTAGGGACATGTTAGGTTTTGACCCTATATGGATGGAAAATGTTATTTTCTTACTAATTTTGGTATTTTATTGTGCAGAATACTTTAAGGTTTAGATATTGCTATAAATGTATTGTTTCTCAAGCAAAAGAAATAAATATTGACTAAAAGTTATGCTCATGAGTTTCTTATTTATGCTATGCTTTTTTCAGACAAACTATTTTTTTGTTATGCCAATTTTCTTTTCAACCATAGACAACTAAGTGACTACATCATTAAATAAACAAGTTATGAATGGTTATTCACGAGTGTTACAACCAAGGTTGTTACACCTCTACCGGGAAGCTGCTTGGACTAGGTCCGACCAAAATCGTGCTCCAAAACGGGCTCTACAAAACCAAGGGTCTGATCGTTAGAGAGGGAGAAGAAGAGAGAGGGAAAGGGGAGGGGGAGAGAGGCAAAGGGATGATGGGTGGATCTTGAGATATATATTTTTCTATAGAATTTGAGATTTTAATAGATATAAGTTGGTACATTTCATTTGAGTCACAAAATTTCTATATTATATGTAAATATATTTAGAAAAGGTGTGAAACGGCTCGAACAGTCTGGACTTCAATCAAACCATTAAACTTCAAACAACTTGCTTGACCGGCTCAACGACTTAAACTGGTTTGACAACTTTGGTTATAACAATTAAGATTACAATGTTCATCGTTGATGAATAGATATAACAATTTTGAAAATGGAAAAATAATTTTGATGTCACATTAATGCCATACGAAATTCAGCATTACAAATAATTTAAAGAATTTAAATACACATCATAAATACATTATATTCAAATGACAGTCCGACCAACAGGTCAGACAACAAACTAATTTCTAAAGAAGACAACAATAGAGCTTTACGTGCCAATTTATAAGAAGTTCCGTTGACAGTTCTCTAAATTGCCCTAAAATCTATACAAAGAGAATTTGACCCAAGAAAATGATGACAATCTCGAAGCAAGGATCCATCGATCGCTCCACCAGCAACCCTTGGCAGACTTCTTGAGGTCGCAAGAGAAATAGTGGCTCTAGCATCTCCGCAAAGTAGAGATCAGAAGCACCTTGATGACCGGCTCCAATGGCCAGCAGTTCATGCCCGTCCGAGCCACGCACAACAAGCCAGACGAGCAACCAGAGTCTTCAACATCAATACAATGTTGAGCTAACTAACCATTGTAGTTCATTGCACTATAAACTCTTAATTATGCCGGATTGTGTCCAAAGTTTTAGAAAATATTGAAATGTTCCAAGCTATTAAGGATCCACCGATCAAGTCATTCAATTGATAGTGAAAATACTCTGAACCCCAGTTGCAGATTGTTGCTCTACTGAATGATGTCTTGTTCTTTTAGTTTCAACAGTAACATTTCAGTTTAGGAACAGATTGCAGTGAGATCTTTATATGGAATGCAATGTACAGGATGCAACCCACGCTACAACAACATAGCTGCTACGGTTTAATTAGGATATTCCAACTTCCAAGCTACAAACATTTGTGAGAGACCTTCACAAGCAAGAGACAAAGAAAGTACGATAAAACCAGTAAAACAGCATGTCGTCCAACTAGATCTCCGAGGTACCCGGTTTGACATCTAGTGTATTGCTGCTGATATATGCAAACAAAGCGTATTGCTTGAGACTCTTGAGTCTGACATATACAAAGCCCTAGTTGGTCAACGTCCAATGTCCATAGCAGAAAAAACCTGACTGCTTCCTCCAAGTGAGTCTTCCCACTCCACGGAAGAGATCAATATCTGGTTCAGCATCTGCACTACCTCTCCCATCTCCGGTCGGCTCAACGGATCTTCGCTTAGACACCATCTTGAAACCTCCGCCATCTAACCATTAATCAATGCGAACATTGTCAGATGAGTTCAATTTGACAAAATGGACATATATACAGCACAACAGCTAGTGTATGAACTATGAACTGATACAACCTTGTGTACGTCTTGCAATAGGCTGCTTCTTCTCAGATTACTATCTATGATGGTTTCAAGAGCCATCTCTGGATGTTGCTCTCGGAAGATTTTAACCATCTGATCATCCCAATTCAAATCCAGTCACACAGATTATAAAAAGGTGGCAGCTTGGCAGGATATTGGATTATTTATCAGGACAGGTCAAATTCTTCAGTGATGCAGTTTTAACTTACAGTCATGGCCAGTGACTTCATCCCCGAGGGTTGCAGGTGGTCGTGCACTACTGCATTCCGCCCAGTTATGAGCTCTGCCAGCACCACTCCAAACGCAAACACGTCAGTCTTGGTAGTTATTTGGAGCTCACGCACACATCTGCATATGTCCAATTAAAGCCCAAGGTTCAATGACTTAACTAGCAAGCAAAAATAGAAGGAAATGAGTTATGATTTATCAGTGGCTTGTAAGAGAGACTAAGAGCTTACTCTGGAGCCATGTAACCCGGTGTTCCCATCAATCTAGTCACAACAAAGTCTTCTTCAATCGATCTCTCTGCTAACATCGTCAGCCCAAAATCCGCTACCTGTCATATAGGTTTCAGAATGAGAAGCAACAATTGATCCACCTACCAGGAGATTGGTTGTGTAAATAAACAAGAGTTACCTTAGCCCTGAGTCCTTGATCGAGCAGGATGTTGGCTGTCTTGATGTCACGGTGTACATACCGAGCCTTGGTGTGATCGTGAATGTACTCAATCCCTCTCGCTGCATCAACTGCTATCTGTACTCTAGCAGTCCATGAAAGAGTTGCGTGACCCTTCCTTAGAGGATCATGGAGATGGTTGTTGAGTGACCCATTGGGGAGATACTCATACACTAAGTACATAAATTCCTCTTCACTTGCATATCCCAGTAGCTCCACCTAGTCAATGATCACAACAGGGTAATTAAGGCCATCAACTCCATTGCCGCCCAAACAAAACAACACCATGCGACCACAGATGAGCCCTCACCACATTGATGTGATTGACCTTGCATAACGCCTTCAGCTCTGCAAAGAACTCGCTTAATCTGTTAGATTTCATCCGCTTGATTGCAACTTCCTGTTAAACCCAATTCAATTCAACTCAACAGCTGATATAGTCACAGAGCCCATATTTCTTAACTTGAAGTCTTGACCACATAAATATGTTTATGGTCATTATCATTTGCATGCATATACCTTTCCTCTCAAAAGACCATAATACACCCTTCCATAGCCACCTTCACCAATGATCCTGCTCTCTTCAAACCCATTTGTTGCCTTATCGATCTCCTTCAAGGTGTATACTCTAGGCTTCTCAGATTCTAATGTCGCTTCTGCAACCCCAAAAGCACAATGTTAAATACTGAAACAGGTAACTTTCAATCCATATATTCTTAACCTCTTAAGTTTATGGCGAACCTTCAAAATCATGCTTTTGGAAGTAAGACAGCAACGACAATGTTGAAGTGCTTCTGCATGCTTCCACATCCTTGCCCGGAGCTCCTTCTTGCTTCTCTCCACCAATTCTTCTTCTTTTCAGAATGGTGAAACCCAATGAGCTCACCAACAGTAAGCTGATTCCAGACAACACTCCCAAGCTCAACCCAACGCGGTTTTTGCGACCTGGCTTCATTCTTCTTCTCTGCTTCTTTCTGGGAACAAAAAGCACCTTTCCCTCATCTATCAAACTCAAGGCCTGCTGACTCAACCCTTCGTTTAAACTCACAATCTCCTCTACTTTTGCAGACAAAAGCTCAGCAATTCCCCCCAATGTGTCGTTTTTCTGAACTGAATAGGTCACAATGTCGACGGCTTGGTCCCCGGAGCAGCCGCACAGGAGCGCGATTCCGATCATATCCCCGGCATTAATCGGTTCTCCATTTGCAGAAACCATGTTTGAGGAATTTCCGAGTGTATCACCTGGCCGTAGGGTGTAAACCGTGTCATAGGAGTAGTATCCGCCATGTGGGTAGCTCTGGTTCTCTCTACAGAAGCACGGGACGGAGACGAGATACCCTTGTTGTTTGCCGCCGCCGCCGTGGGTGATGGGTTCCACGTCGTCGTTGCTCACAGAGTAGATGGAAGCAACCTGGTTTATCAAGTCCGTGGAATTGAATCCTCTCGAAGGAGGAGGAGAAGGATGGTATAGATAGGAATCGCAGCTGCGAATCGGAGAAGCGGTGGAGCAAGTAAAGGAGCCATTGAAGGGTTGAGCTTCGAAGATGTTGCAGAGAGTGAGGAAGATGACGGAAAGGAAGAAGAGAAGGTGATTTGGGGAAGCCATAGTTCAAGTTTGTTTTTTTTTTTCCCGCAGGATGGAGGGAATGAAGAATAAAAAGAATTGGGATCCGTTTTGAGCGTTTGTGTGTAATGAATTTTTGGAGGGAAGGTATCATTTTAGCAGATAGCTGTGTTCTTGCGATGGAATTTTTTGGCGGTTTCAGGTTGGGGCAAGACCGCAAGAGTAAGCTTTGGCGGGATGGGAGAGTGGACAAGAAATGGAGTGTAGGACTGATGTTCTTTATTACGAAAATCCAGAGATGGTGTGTAGGACTGGTAGTGTATTAAAAAGGTAAAATTTTGGATTGAAATAAGGATGGGCCGAGATTGGATTTGGATAGGGCCCGAGAAGAGTTGTTCAATACAAGCTAGAAAATGAAGGACCCAACACCTAAGTACTTGAATTCCTAAGCATGATGGAATTCACTGTTTGGTCTTTTTACACTTCACTATTTTCCGATTTTTGGAGGCTAAGTTGTTGGATCGAAAACCGGATAAAAATCATATACTCAATACCCAAAATTTAACCAATTCTTCACCTTTTGAGTCCTCGGGCAACTCAAATTCTCACAAGCTCAATCTAAAATCAAGACCGAATTAGGATAAGACCGGGTCAAGATCAGATCGGATCAAGAACGGACTGTATCCAATCCAATCTTTGGTCTTTATATTCCCGAAAAGACCGGACTGGGACTGGATCAATTCGGGCCAATTTAACAGGACCATACCGTATAGCCACCCCTAGCAGCACAGGAGATATTGATTAAATCAATCGCTTTGGTTTTGTCATTACATGTCCTATTTCAAACTTCCACTTTCGCTTTGTCAAATCTTAGACAGACACGTGGCCATATTCTGGTGGGGTGTCGACAAAGGTAATCCCCGGTTACGATGGTTGTCCTGGAGGAATGTGTGCCAGAGTAAGCATGATGGAGGAATGGGATTTCGGCGGTTTGAACATTTTAATCCGGCTCTTTTGGAAAAAATTGAATGACGCATCCTTAATGAGCCCCCAGTCGCTTCTGGCACAGGTTTACAAAAGGAAATATTTCCCCACCGGGACTTTCCTTCAGGCCACTGCGCGATCTCGACCAACGTGGGGATGGCAGAGTATCCTTTTTGGCCGAGAATTATTAGCCAAGGGCCTACGCTGTGTATAATCCTCAAGTGTTACCTGAGGGTGGCAACCCGAAGGTGACGGAAGTGATTTTCCAAGGGGGAGGTCAGTGGCGTGATCTTAAACTCGGCTAATGGTTTGACCCAACTACCTGTCGTGTTATCAAGACAATCCCTCTTCCTCGGCAAGATGTGGAGGATAGGTTGCTCTTGCATGACACGTGTGATGGGATGTTCACTGTCAAAACGCCTATCATCTTGCAGTCTTGTTAGATAAGCAAGAAGGTCGGTGGCGCTCCTTGGCAAGTTGGATGGATAGGTCGAGTTGGATTTGCTTGTGGGAAGCACATATTCCACCCAAATTAAAGGTGTTCTTATGGCAACTTTTCCAACAGATCCTTCCTACGACAGAAGCACTTATTGAGAAGAAAGTCCAGGTGAGTCCCAGATGCCCGGTTTGTTGGGCAGAATCAGAAACAATGGAGCATTTGTTTCGTGATTTCCCAATGGCAAGGGCTTTATGGGATCATTTCGGACTCGAATATCTTGGCCAAGGCTTGCCACGTCACATGTTTCCGCTATTTCTTAAAAAGTTGATGTTATTGATACATCAACCTCAACTTTTCATGGCGGTTGTTGCGGTCCTCCGGCGGATCTAACACTCAAGGAATTGGGTTGTCTTTGAGGGCAAACAATTTGGGATCCCAGCTTTGCTGCCCCAGTTTCACCAGCAATACGATGAGTGGGTCAGCTTGCCAATTGATCGTGTGAAGCAATCGACGATACTACGTGCACAATCATTGAATGTGGGTTACCATACTTCTTTAATATGTATGTGGGATGGGGCAACTAAGAGTTTAATTGTAGACAGGAAATGCAATATAGTGGGAAAAGTAATAAAAGTCAAGCCGAAGCCTAGATGTATGCCTACTCCGTGATTAACTGAAGTGTTCAAAGGCAAAATAAACAAAAAGCAGAAGATATTCTAGTTTCCAAAATCAACAAACAATCCAAAATGTAGAATTAGGGTTCATCAACCTAAGTAAAGAGATCTAGTTCATAGTGAGGAGAGAGATTACGGTAGAAGGCTCAAATTCTTCCATCTTCTTATTTTTGGGGATGATCTTGAATCTCCAAAGGTGATAATCACGTTGGTTGAATTGTGATTAATTTGATTTTATTTGTGTTTGAAGAAGAAAGCAATAGCAGCAACTGGGTATGTATACATGTCGGATTCCATCAGAGACTACGCATATCGAGGAAGTTGAGGACCTCTTCACCCTTTTCCATTAATTATTTTTTTTACTTTTTGCTAATAATTTGGTATTCTTATTATAATTTAATTTGGTATTAAACAATGACGTGGCGTCTACTTGTAAAAAAATGACGTGGCGTCTATGTGGATGTCCCGCAAAATAAAGTTAATATTGCTTTGAGTGCCGTTCGGTCAACTGTTTTTTCTAACAGTTAAAAAATCACCATGATATAAATGGCACAAATGTATCGTACAACGTGATAGAAATGAAATATTTGAAATAATAGAACAAAAGTGACATTTTGTTCATAGTTCGTGTCTCGTAGATAATAGCCATAATAAAAAAAGGCAAAATGTATTTGCTGATTTCAAATCAACACTTTCTGCGCATATGATTAGTAGAGCGAAATCTATATGTGTTCATTCAAGAAATGGAGTTTATATATTGCCCTCAAGTCTCAACTAGTTCTCGTCATTGTTATATTCGATTTTCTTTACTCTCACACTCACTCTATCATCTGACTGACTCGTGCCCCTCGATTCCTCTCTCAGCTATATATTCTGATTCCCGCCGTATGTAATATATTCGTATGTGGAGATTTGGAGAGAGCTGCCATATCTTCTAGAAAATATTAGAAATATAAACAATATACGGTGGATCAAGACAAAGGTGGATGCAATTCCCATTTGTGTTCTTTCTGGGGTTATGAGTGGCAGTTAAATTAATCCATGGTGCATTGTGCGTGAATCATTGGCCATAATCATTGCCAATCGATTGATAGATCTTAGCTGTGGTAGATAAACAATATAGAATTAGAGGCCTGTTGACGATGATGCATCCTAATGTGATTTGTCTTCAGGTTTAAGATTGGGGTGTTATCTTCGTTGATTATATAGATAGGAAACTTGGGGGGAGCAATATAATTGAGGTGTTAGCTTCACCCACCTATGCAACTAATGAAATTAGCCGACCATGAGAACGGGATCTATGGGATACATAAGTCGAAATGAGAATCCCAAGAGGCTCCCCAAATTTGCACCCAAAACAGAGATTTCACGGACACGACCGTCAATTACAGTGCCGATTTGCCTCTAATAACCGGTGTCGCTTTAATAAAGTCAGGTAATTAAGTCACTATGTCAGCAGAATAATGACTCTCTAATGCATCCTATCATTTGGCTACCCAACTCTTTCTGATAGAAGTCTATTTATAGACTTTTGTTTGAGCCCAAACAGCCAAACTCCGTGCCACGTCACCCTGACTCGGCGCCGGGGCGCCTAAACCACTCAACGAGCAGAAAGTAGGCGTCTGGCCCAAGATTTTCCCGATGTTCACGTTTACTTGTTCCCTTTTAGTGAGAGAAGTGATCCCCCCCCCCTTTAGTGTCAGAAAAGTCCCCCTAAATGTTACCTACCAGTAGGGGTGGCTATACGGTCCGGTCCGGTTAAATTGGACCAAATTGATCCGGTCCCAGTCCGGTCTTTTCGGGAATATAAGGACCAAAAATTGGATTGGATACAGTCCGTTCTTGACCCGGTCCGGTCCCAATTTTATCTTGATTTTAGGTGTTGGGGGTCTCTTATCCGGTCTTTATCCGGTTTTTTACCTCAAATCTAAGCCCGAATATGAGATTGCATTGTTTGCTATCCGGTCCCAGTTCGGTCCCGGTCTGGGTTATACGGTCCGGTTTCGGGTAAAACCAAACAGTCCGGGACCAAATAGCTAGCCCTACCTACCAGCACTATTTATACTTGCACAGCCAGAGGTCCTGCTTTTACCTCTCTGCTCCACGTCAGCACGACATTAAATGCATGGTACTTTTGTCCATGCTAGGCGCCCCGACCAACCTGTCAGACTTTTGTCAGGTTGTAGGCGCCTCCCTTCCGGGACCACTATCAGTCTGCGCATTCTTGTTACATGTCAGGACCCTTCCACTCCAATTTGGGGCCTGGCCCACCGGGCTTTTCCCATGATTACCTTCGGCCCAGCTCGCCATCTGGGCCCATAGTCATTCCTGGGCTTGAAGTTGGGCTTCCCCTTTTAGCCATACCCCCAACAACTTTCTATTAGGATTTTGAATGAAAGAGGACGGTCATCTACTGCTTCTTCGAGTCTCAATCAATCTCTTCTAACTTGGCCACCATGAAAAGCATATTATTTAAAGATTCTAGCAATTTCTGGACAAGCCTCAAAACGGCAACTTGATCGTCGTTTTAGTGATTAGGCTACTGATTGAGTTGACAAAATTCAAGGAAATGTTGGACTAGAATGCAAAAGAAGGAATTGTGTAGAGCAGGAACGCAGAAGCTTGCACTATTGAAGAAGAACTGTGGAACTGAAGGTTCGAGTGTTCGTAGTGGATGAAACGTTCCATCTCGATCACAAAACTTTACGTTACACACTCTCGTTTTGGTCTGTCATGATAAGTAGTGTTGTTAGTTTCTTTTAGACAAATGGCAGACTCCCCCGTGAATTTTTTTTTTTTTTACAGTTATCGCCCAATAAACTTTGAAGTGCTCTCAAATAGAGAGAGCCGCCGGTAACAATGTTGCACACATTTCTGATAATCTACTTGTTCGGCTTGTCACCGTTGTCTGAGTTCGTCTGAAATCCAACAAGAGGAGCTGAAGATTGCAAGATATTTTCCTCCATCTATTTTCTTCTCTTATCTCTTCTTAGGTAGGCTCACACAAACTAAAAATTGGATACAATTTGAACCAACCATCGCAAGATTGCTGTACTGACGCCACAGTTAGAGCAATGGTCAGCTGGTGATACATGCATGTATCAGTATGAGGAAAGGCACACCGTGATTGCGCCTCTTAATTTCTCTTTTGGGTACCAATTAAAAGATTTCAAGCTTGGAAAGAAGAGAACAGCTGCTGCCAGCAGCTTTTCAATATGTTGTTGCATGTTGAAGCGCCAAAAGGAATGATGCGCCGCTCTCTCTTTCTCTCGAATATCTTCATCATCAAAATAATACTATTTATTTGCATTGTTTGTGCTACTGTTAAATTTCCTCTTCACTATATTCCTTTACATAATAAATTCCCCTTTTGACCAGGCGACTCTTTTCAATTTTTGCGTTGGAGAAAAGAGTATAGAGCAGTGATCGCCCAACGGATCATCAATATAATTGTTTGATTCCAGTATAGTGCAAAGTCGTGAACAATATAACTAATATGTTTTTAAGTGGTAGATACTCATGTATAACTATATATATCTATCTACATATATTAGGTAGATATAATTTTCTATGTATAAAATGTGAGGCTAACCATGATAACGATTCAACACTAGTACCGCTACATACTCATAATTGAAGTTGTAATTTCAAAATATTAGTAAAACAGATAAACTGTATAGTCAACAATTATATTATATGTCCATGGGTATGGATACCAGATTGATACCTAAATTAGTAGAATGCCCCAAAAATGTGGAAGAATGAATAATTAATATTGTATATTTCAGGAAAAACAAGGAGATGAAGATTTGGTAGATCTCTCTTATTCTTCAAAGTTATACAAGGGCCCCTCTTGGCAAATATGTGGTTGAGAGAATTAGACAATTAGAATAGTTAGTATACAAAACCTCATAGTTTTGGAGCACACTATTGTACGATTAGAGTATAGGCCAGTTACTAGTGAAATATCAATTTAGACAATAAATTAAATTGAGCTTGTGGTATGATACTATATATACCCTAACCTCTAATTGATAAACGACAGTCTCCGATTCTCTAAATCCAAACCCGAAGTTCAGTTTAATAGAAAATAACAATCAACCGATGAGATTAGTCGGAGCTCATCGAAGTGCATCTAACGGTCAGATCACTTGGAGTATACCAATCATTACTCATAGTTTTGTAGTTAGAATACAAATATTTGGTACATTTGTTTTACATCGGATTTTTTTTTTTAATGTATAAAAAATAATATTTTTTTATGCTCTACAAGATAATTTCCATTTGCAGCTCAATTTTTTACAAAGAAAAAAGAATATATATGTAATTCAAGTGTAAACTGTACAGGCCAGACTAGCTGTTATTAGCTAGCAGTAGACTCCGCCGAAATAGAGAATCACCACCTTTATTAATCAAACCAAAAGAAAAAAGATAGAGCAAAAAAAGAAGAGAGAATTTAGCACAGTTCCAACATGTGTAATACTGAGTTTGCTCTAATCTAATCTAATCCCAATGCCCAAGCACAGATTCCAATAGTCCCACAACACAGACAGCATGCTCTTGTGCATACATAGGCATAGCAAGCATAGAATAGAACAACCCCTTATTATTTAGGTCACTCCCTCTCTACTGCCCGAGAACAGATCAGGTCAGTAATCTTATGGTGAGTAACTATAAGTAAACCGTTCACATTAGCATGACATTAGCATCCCTCTCTCCTGAAAAGCCTTTAATTTTCTTCTCCTTAATCTTTGACGGACGATTTCTCACTCGTTTTAAATCGAAATTAAATTTTTTTGCACAGTTAGATCAGATTAATTGTGCACTTCAAAATGATATCCACTTTGATATATTTTCCGAACAAAAAAATTGAGCCATTTTTTACCAGTCTATAACATATGGTATTGACTGGTATTGAAATAAGAGCATACCTATGGTTTGAAAAGCGTAGCATGGTGGTATGAACAAACCAAGACTGTAGGATGGTTGAATACATGATAGTAGAAGTATATTAATTGTCATTTACGATTTTTAACCTTGTGTACCACAAGATACCACCCCGTACCAAGGTGGTATTGTATGGTATTTTTTGGTCCTGTAATTTTTTCACCCAGAAATTTGTGGATCCATCATGATGAACTCGTCCCTTCTGTGCAAACGTTTTCAAAAATGAATTAAGAAAATACCATATGGTATGCAGTTGGTACCGAGAGGCTAGTATTTTTTTTCTCAAAAAATATTGAAAATTGATCTCATTTTGTAGAGCACGATGGACGCGTTCCATCTATGCAAAAAAAAATAATTAAAATTCGAGTTAAAACGAAAAAGATATGAGCCGATTAAGAAAGATCGGGAAAATAAAAATGGTCTTTAATTCTCCATCCTTAAATCTGGATTTTCTAAATGAAGGATCCAGATTTGGTTATTGATGGGTGCATAACCACCCTATCTCGAGCCTACTGCCAGACAACAACAGAGAATTTATTATAACAATAATTATGCACCTTATCTTGAGCCTGCTGCCAGACAACCACAGAGAATTTATTATAACAAATTACCAAATTGCAAAGGTTCTGTATGTATATATATTATTGATCTCCAGCAAATTCCTAAGGGTATAGACTCCATCATGTGAGGCTATCCAGCTAGAAGATCACTTTATGAATATTTATTTATAGACTTTTCCCATTGCCCATACCCTCTTCTCTATCTAGGCACGCGAAAACCCTACTTACTTACTTACCCATATTATATTTCATCATCATGAATGCATGAACGAAAGAGCAGAGCAGAGCAGGTAGCCAATATTATTCCGCATTCACATATTTCCACCACCACCTCCTCCTCTTCCATTCATCTGATCCTCCTCCTCATCGCTCCACGGCAGCCCTCCGCCACCGTAAGGGAACGGCGGCAGCCCCATGTTGTTATTACCATAATACCCTCCTCCTCCTCCTCCTCCGCCGCCGACACCGACGCTCCTCCTATTCATGACCAAGGGATCGAACGGCGGCCTTCCCTGGGCGACAGCCGGGATGGTGGCGGCGAAGCGGATGAGGTCGGCGTTGGCGGCGTCGAGGTCCTTCTGGAGGCGGTGGACCTGCCTCTGGAGGAACGTGATGGCACCCACGCACCCGTAGACGGGGTCGCGGACACGCGCCTCGGCCTCGTAGGCGAGGGAGTTGACGGCGTCCTCGCGCTGGTGGGGGAGGAGGTCGTTGAGGAGCTTGGTGACGTTGCTGGCGCCGAAGATCTTGTGGACGTTGGCGAACTTGTGCGGCTCCTCCGGCGGGAAGTAGGGCGCGAAGATGCAACCCGGCATGCACTTGCGGCGGAGGAACTTGCACGCCGCGCACGGTGAGTTGTACGCGCTGCTGCTGCTGCTTGTTGTTGTTGACGATGATGATGATGATGAAGCCGCCATTGTTAGGGTCTAACAGCTGATCAACAACAAAGTATACAGCAAAGTTAAGTGCGACCTTTTTAATTATTTTCTTCCACGAGTTAAATTAACTTAATTATTATACTCTTATGCTTTGTTTTTACTTCCCCTTCCTTGGTTATTACAGCTTGCTTGTGCTTACTTCCGGTATCTATGTTTAACAGATTGTAATTCAACTGCCAAGCTTTTACTGTCATTTTCCTACTTTACTTTATGGATAAATTTTTTAAGAAATACACCTCAAATTCATATTTTAACCTGAATATCCTCTGACTAAACAAAACCCATGATTTCCATAATGTACCATATCTGAGGACAATTCTACTGATGCAATCCTGATATCCTCTTACAAGCTAAGCATAAGGACATGTATTTTCCGTCATCCGGAATTAAATGACGATGATTCAGGAAAATATACAAACACATCATATCCAATTATTTTGGGTAATGTCTATTTTTTTTATCCAAATCTTTTTCGGAAACCTATCAAAATACCAGAAATTAGTCAAATGTTAACTTTCGGTCAGCAATTTTGTTAGTAATATTGACTTGGCAACATGATACTGAATTTGAAGAGACACATGAAGGTTAACATTCCAAAGTTTTAGTATTTTAACTAAGAAAAGAGTTACAAAGTTATTAACGATAATTTGGCTAATTAATAACATTTTAATAAGTTTAAATAATATAAAAAATTAAAAAAATGTTTGGATAAAAAATAGACATTACCCAATTATTTATTCCTACATATCTTAGCTATCTAACTTAATGGGTTAGGAGACTGATTTAAAGATGATACTTACCCTTACGCATGTTAAGAGAATAGCCAAAATTCCTCTTAATAGGCATCTGATACATAGAGGTGTGTGGTAGAACCGCCTAATCGGATAACTTTTCTTGAACAACAATCAAATCAAAATTACTTTAATAATATCTATCGAACTCACTCGTCATCAAGCACACTTTAAATTTATTCCTCGAAATAGAAGACAAACCCTAGCTAGTTTGATCTTGGAATTAATTACCATCTCCTTTGTTCTTGAAATCTCAATTTTGTGACCCAATTTATAACAAAAAACTCCACTAATGGGAAAGAAAGAAACTACAATCATGGAGGAAGGAAGAAACTTTATATAAAGATTTAGATGATGGATGTATGATTTGACAAATTCTGCGATGATCAGACCCTCTCGAATCTCATCTCACACACAGGTAGAAACCCAATGGATATAATGAATTTCCATGTATAGTTGTTTTGCTGGCAAATTAAATTATTGAAGGCTTCTGTTCTGAGCTCTGACACAGGGTTTGGTTTTTTTTTCCCCCTCTCTTTTCTCTGGTGACTTTTCCTTGTTGTTTGGAACTGTAGTTCCAACTATTAATTCAGCCCTCCTTCCACTGATCATCTCTAGTACTGCTACTGCTTCTTTCTTTCTTTCTTTCTTTCTTACAGCCACTTATTATTATTATTTTGGGGTTTTTTTCTTCTAGGTTGGTTGCCGGCCCAATCCGTCCTTTCATTGAATTCTGCTGCAGCAAGCAACCAACAGTCTGCTCCTGCCCTCTCCTCTCCTTACTTACACGCACTCTCTACTGTCTGCCTTACCTCTTCTTCTCACAGAGTTTGTCTTTTGTCACCTCAAATCACACACACACATCTCTCTCTCTCTCTCTCAACTTCCCTACCCTTGTTTGAACAGAACTAAAACAAGAAGAATATTGAAAAGAAGAGAACAGAGACGTGGTGAAAAAAAGAAGAAGAAAAAAACCCTTTGTGATGAGGTGAAGGATCATAAGCTAGCACCAGAGAGACAGATCTCAACAGTTTTAATGTCTTTCTTTCCTTTCCTCTAGATCTCTATGTCCCTGCTGTTTTGTTGTTAACAGTCTCACTAGCTAATGAAACATGGACAGACAGATATATATTATATAGAGCCAAACCCTAAATCAACAAATAAACCCACCAACGGAAAGAAAGAAAGAAAAAGAAGATCTAACCACTCTCAGCCTTTTCAAAGCCGCAAGTGTACGTGCTTCCACATCTCAGGAAAGAAAGCTAAAATACATATATAGTATAGGCATGTGTATGTATACACTATGATATGTAGAGTTCATCGTTACTAGCTAGCCTATATATATATATGTACGTGGTAGAAAACAAAGTAAGGGGATTTTATCTTGTTACATGTACGTACGTATGTGTATTAGATAGAATTAGGTCTAGCTATAGGGATGAGGTTTCTTTCTTCATCAAGTAAGTAAAAAAAAAACAATATTACAGCAGAAAATAAGGATTTGGGTAGCAACCAAAACATACTTTACTACTGTACCTCTCTGGAAGCACAAAAGCTGCGTAGTAGGTTTCGCTTTGTGCAAGTTGATTTCCCAGCCAACTTGCCAACCCTTTAAATTCAGATCAGCTACTCAAAAAAACAGTAGATCACGGATAAGAAAACCCTAGTTTTTGTGGTTGGGAAAGAGGGAAGCAAGCTAGGGAGTATTAGGGCTTGAGAGAGGTGGAGATGAAGCTGGGAATGCAAGAGTTGGATGCAATGAGAGAGAGATAAGGGGGGGATTGGCTTAAAACCAGCAGTGGAGTGGAGGGTGAAGAAGAAGAGGATGAAGAGGCAAGTAGCAAGCAAGGACAAGAGATAGAGAAGAGGGGCAATAAATGGTGAGGGGCACACTCTCTATCTTACAAAAGAACAAAAGAGAGGAATGAAATGAATTATTATTTTTTTGGTTGTGTGGGAGTGACCCTAGCTAGGTCTAGCTAGCTAGGTAAGCTCATTCTCTCCCTCATCAACCCTTCAGCTTACTCATCATCCCACATTAACAAATGTATCATCGTCATGGTAATCATTACCATCATCTCTAATCACCCATTAATTGTATTGTATATGGTGGGTGGGAATGTCTTCCTCCTCCCATTCAGTTAGTTGCTGAGCTCCTTTATTTTGTCACACATTCGAATTCCTCCTCCATTAGACCTTATGTGTAATCTATACAATAACCTATATTGGACAGCACATATACATACATACATACATACCCACATTTACTTACAAGGGTTGTTAACACTCTGATAACATCCAGATATAGGTGTTATTCGTCTTTCTAATCTTAAGTTTTCTCATATTTTTAATGTATTAAAGAGCGCGTTTGAACCCACGGTGTATCCTAGCTAGTTTTGCTTTCTACCACTTGCATGTGCGTTATTAGGAAACATTGTGTGCGCTCTACACATATGACGAAGAATGAAGGACTCAAGTGTAGAAATGAGGGCAACTCGGAGATCGTGTGCAGAAGGAATAGATAATGGCGGGGACATGTCAGACCGCAAACTAGATAGGGGGACATGCACTAGATCTCGATCGCGATCTGTCATCCCTAGGTCTTGAACTTCGGGAAGCTACGCATGAAGAAATGCAAAAGGTACGGTACGAGTTAGGGTCCTTCAATCTCGGGAACACGAGGGAGATTGTGGCCCTCATCTGAGCATCTCAAAGCGACACCCCCTTTTAGATCGCGCCACAATTCCAGTGATCACGATCGTGAACTGCTCCGAGGCAGGGCGTAATCTTGTATTAACTCGTGTTCACTATAAATAGAAGATTACTCTAGGGATGAAGGGAGAGTTTTGGGAGCTGAAACCCTCGAAAGAGATTGAGAGAAGAAGTCTCTTGGAGAAGAAGAAGAGGTTGAAGAGAAGAAGATGAGAGCTTTAAGAGGAGGATTTTCAACAACTTGGAGCCCCTTTATGATGGTTTTCCTTCCCCCTTTCATTGTTCTTCTTCCTCACTTCATGGGGTAATTCCTTACTCGCTAAAACTAACACAATCAAACTACGACCAAGTGTAATCACAGTCTAGCAATGTTCAGGTTCTATTTTTCAACTCAGATCCTAGGTCTACTGACTACTCCACTCAAATCTATTATTTAGCGGTATAGTTTGAGTGAAGAAATTAAAAGCAAAGTAGACAGAATGCAGAAAATGTTCTGGTTTCAAGTATTTAAACGGTCATCCATATATGATCCCCCTAGTATGCAGTTAGTTCATATTATAATTCCCCAATTCGTTTCAATTGACAGATATACTGCGGAAAATTCTTGACAAGTCTGAAATCTCGACTATAGAATTCCAAACCCTCTCAGTTTGAATACTCGGTGTAAGCTAATCGAGGCAGTAACACACCTAACTTTCACTACTAGTTTTGATTCTAGTACAGAGCAGTGAATCGATTCCTCGACTAAAGTAATCGATCCACTACTTCCAATTAAGATTCTCTATTAACCTATGCAGAGACTGTCATTCTATGTTACAGTAGGAATCACAAGAATTTGATCAGGACTCATGCAATTCTGAATAATGATTCAATTGAATATATCAAGTCAATCAGTCACAAAACTGGGTTCATACAACCATTCCTAACATACACGACTAGGGTTCTTCATACCCAAATGAAAAAGAAAGTTTACTCCATTGAGAGAAGAGAAATCTCAAAGCTTGGAAGATAAATCATCATGTGAGGGATGAGAATATGCTCCAGGCTAGAAATTAGCTCTCCGAGGGTGAAAGATCGAGCTCCAATGTCCTTAGATCGCTTCAATCCTTTCCCAAGGTTGTTCTTCGTCACTTTCTCTCTCTACGGTTCTCTCTAGCTGTTTCAAAACTTGCAAAACTGGATCCCCTCCAATTTGCCCGAGTCAGCCTTTTGTATGCTGAGGATTTGCGAGTTATTGCCAAAGCCAAAGTTACGATCGTAACTTGCTTCCCCAACCCGTAACTTCCCCAAAAATGATGACGTGTCTGCACTCCATAAACCAAGAGTTACGGTCTTTTAGGGGAAGTTATGTCAAGACCGTAACCTTGACTCTTGGCCCGTAAGTTTGAAGTAGAACTCTACTTCTCTGCCTTGAAGTTACGGCCTAAACTGGAGAGTTATGGTCCTGCCCTTAACTCTTCCTTACTCTCTACTCGGGTGCTCCAAAACGTGCCAAAACTCGCTCCCACGCATCCATTCACGTGCCAAAATGTCAGTGTAGCTGCTGTTTGTTTTGATTTGTTTGGATTTATTAGGATACGATCTCAAGATCGTCTAGTTGATAGGATTAGTGTCTTCGGAAGATTGCCCTTAGTGATTTACCAAATTGTAGGAGATTCGGGAGTTAATCTCTTGTAACCCAATCTCAATTCTTGGTTCTCAGATCCCTATATAAGGGTTGAATGAATAAGAAGCAACAACAAGAGTTTTTAGCCGAAAATCACACCAAAGATGGCCGATTCTCGCCGTAAAGAGAATGTCATCACACCTCTGATAAACAAATTCCAACACCGTTCTCTTCCGGATCTCTCCAAAATAAACGCATTCATATTATTAGTGATACTAACTTTGTAATGTTAGTTGTACATTGAATTCTTCCACTTTGATATGCATTGAGTCTTACGTAAGTTTCAATACTTTTGATGGCTTCTTTGAAGAAATAGTAAAATTTAGATATCAGGTTATAAAATAAGTTGACTTAATGTAATTTTTTTATATATACTTCACAACATTGGTTGTAGTGTGAATACATCTAAAAGAAACAATATAGTTTAGATTTATCATCTTAAAACATATTATACTTAACTATGTTATTAACAACATTTCATCATTCGAATATAAACCTAAATTTATCATCTTAACAAAAAAATATACTTAAAAACATTATCATCGTTCGAGTATAAACTTATAATTCAACAACATTTCAACAACAAATTATCGCATTAAGGATAACTGGCTACCATAAAATTAATATTTCAACATGCAATAACAAAGTATTCATCATGTAAACACGTACTAATTAAATTATTTACAGATATTCATCATTGCAACAAAATTAATAATTCATCATTTTTTCTAACAACATATACCATTATAGAATAAACATTTAAGCATACCAACAATTACTAGTCATCATTCTAACAATAACTAATTTAATATGATTCTAATATTAAAAATTTTAGCTCAGTAACCATGTTACTCATTGTCATATGTAGAGTTATCCACAAGTCCGAACTTGAGCAACTTCAAGAAATAAACCTAAAAATTACTTATTATCGGTAAAATTAAATTATTCTAAAAAATTTAAAAATGAACATAGCATTTGATTCTGTTGATTCTGAGGCCATCTTCGCTCTCTTAACATGGAGTGAGAGATTTCTTCGTGCCCTTCCTAAATGAGCTCGAGCGAGAAAAAATGACTAACAATGGAAAACCCATTGCAAACAAATATGTTGATTTCTACACAACAACAAAAAATACGTTTAATGAACGGTAACACATATAAGAAGATTTCTTCCCGGCTTTCTAATTTGAATTTGAGTGAGAGATATAACTATAGATGTAAACCAAATACAAACAGATATAAAGATCAATATAAGTATTCACCTAACAAAAATATATGCCAATGGTTAGGGCTAATGAATTGTTGTGTTTGTGTGAATTGGCTTAGTCTCTTAGTGTTTTCCGGCGAGGAAAAACTGGTGTTTGAACACAATGAATGCACCTTTGACTTCTTGAACAACGATAATTACACGGTCCACTCCTCTCCGAACAATGTTCGAACGAGGGTGTTTGATGTTTTGATGGTTTTTTGGGAACAAGCTACGTTACTCTACTCCTATGGAGGTTCAGTGAGAGCTCCGAAAACTAAAAGCTGATTTGCAGGGAAAAGATAAATTTTGACATAGTGTGTCAAATGATTGGTTGTGGAACCCTTGCTTCGTCTTCGTTTCTCCTATTTATAGCCATCCCTTGTAATCGTGCAACTGCCTCTTGGTAACCGCTGCTCCACTACTTGGTGTTTGACTGACTGTCTTGTTTGGTGAGTGAAGGCTTCACGCTTGGTGGTACTCGTGCTAACCCCCTTGACATGACGTCATGCTCGACACCAGGGTGATTGGGGGTTTGATGGATGCACACGGACCCCCTTGGGGGGCATCATGCTTGCAGGGTCTTGACAAGGTGGTCTACCATGTGATGATATACATGGCTGACACCCTAGTGTTTGGTATCAGTGTTTGACCCCCTTGTAGTTGGATCTCCATACTTAGCCAAATGTTGGCCTTCTTCACTGCCATGGTTTAGGGACTCCCTTGTCAACATGCTTGATACCCGGTACCCGGCTAGACCCCCCTTGCGTCTTGCCATACTCGACTCACCTTGGATGGTATCACGCTTGACCCCCTTGGTGCAAGGTGGGTAGATGGCGTAGTGCTTGACCCCCTTGGACGGTGTCACGCATGACCCCCCTGGTGTTTGACCCCCTTGGACAGTGTCATGCATGACCCCCCTTGCGCTTGACCCCCTTGGACGGTGTCATGCACGACCCCCCTTGTGGTGGCATGCTTGACCCCCTTGTGCTGTGGGTCTCAACACTTAGCCAAATTTTGACTTTCTTCGCCTCATCATGTCTAGGAGTACTCACCCGCAAGGTAGGTGTCATGCATGACCCCCTTGGACGGTGTCATGCATGACCCCCCTTGCGGTGGCATGCTTGACCCCCTTGTGCTGTGGGTCTCAACACTTAGCCAATATTTTGGCTCTCTTTGCCACCACACGGCGAAAGGGTACTCGCGATGACCCCCTTGTGGTTAGGTCTCCACGACTTGGGTGGTTGATGTTGAAGGGTATCAACACGCTTGACACTTGACCCCCCTTGCGTGATGTCATGCTTGAACCCCTTGGTGCAAGGTAGGTAGATGGCATAGTGCTTGACCCCCCGGGATGATGTCATGTATGACCCCCTTGTGCTTGACCCCCTTGGACGGTGTCAT